CGGGAAATCTTTAACTCAACCTCTTCTGCCGAGCAGTGGGAACAAATGCAGGGATTTGGGAGATCGGGTCACCTAAGTCCCATCCGTTCCCCCAAAAGCCAGGCTCTGAGGTGCTTTTGAGGATTTTCGTCCTGGTGATCTCCACTCAACGTGCTCGGGCTAGAACCTCCTCGATCCGCTCCCAGCCTGCTCTCACCAAAAAGCCACCCGTCTCTAACTGTGAGGAGCCCCAGGTCCCTGGCAGGCATCAAATAAGCGAAAAGCCCACGTCTTCCTCCTGCACCAGCGAAAAAGAAAACTGAAGAGTGGGGAGGCAGAGAGCAGTAGTTGTCTGCTTTTTAAAAGCTTGCTCTTACACATGCAAATCTTTAATTAAACATACTCATAAAACTATAATGAACCGTTCATCTAATTAAATGGGGTGAGTCATTTCATTAATTTTTAGCAAACTGCAAGGCTGCTCTCCTGCCCTCCTCACTTGGAATTCAAAGGGACGAGCTGAACCATCGGAGGGAAATGATCTTCCCTTTTGCGGTTATTTTGCTCCTTGCGCACAGGACCTGTTTAACTGACCGTAGTTCGTACACTTCTAATTAAAAATTAATTCTCTGAGTCCTGTTGCTGTTCCTGATGGTTGCTTGTTTCCCTCTCAAGCTGTCCAACCCCAGGCTGTAACGGCTCAGGACACATCCGTGGAAAGTATGCAAGACACAGAAGGTGAGGCTGGGTCGGAGGTAGCGGGGATGGAAAAATGCCAGCAAAAAAAACCCCCAAGACAGATGTTCACTGGAAAGAGGCTGGTTCAGAGCAGCCACCCAGCTCACCTGCCCCAAATCTGCCTACCAAAGAGCCAGTTTTCTGTCTCTCCATCAATCCGTGAGGGATCCTGGGGCGTCTGCTTCACCAGGCTAACAGTAGCCTTCCCACAGACCCAAGGCAGAAGTACCTGGCTCAGGCGCCTGGGGTTGATGGGAGCTGTCGGCAGGCAAAGCTTTTTCTCTGCTTGGTGCCTCTGTGGTTGGGGCTGCCCCAAATCTGCCTACCAAAGAGCCAGTTTTCTGTCTCTCCATCAATCCGTGAGGGATCCTGGGGCGTCTGCTTCACCAGGCTAACAGTAGCCTTCCCACAGACCCAAGGCAGAAGTACCTGGCTCAGGCGCCTGGGGTTGATGGGAGCTGTCGGCAGGCAAAGCTTTTGCTCTGCTTGGTGCCTCTGTGGTTGGGAAGGGGAAATGGGAACATGCTGGCTGCCTCCAAGGTGAGGCCAGCCTCACCGGATGGCTTTCATCACCCCATAATGGTGAAATTGGAGTGGTTGGTGGACATGGCCCAGGGGCTGGTTCTTCATCCCCTGCCTGGTTTCGTGGCCATCACCAACAGTGGTGCTGGGAGCTGCTGGTCCTGCTGCTCCCTGGACAACCACTGCCCATGGGCCAGACCACTGGGGCGAGCCCAGTATCCTTGTGCTGACTTTTGAGTAAAGTTGAGAAAGTTGCACAAAGTCAAGGTCTGAGAGCAGCTCTTCTGGCCATGAAGGGTTAAACCAGCCACAAATCTGGGCTGCTGGATGATTTTTTTTATTTTTTTTTTTAGTATTTTTGTATTTGCCTAACTGGTACAGATGCCATAGCCATCCCTTTCTCACTCGGCAATGCCTCCCCTCTGCTCCTTGATCCCATCTGCAGTTTACAAAGCTGCCCTCTAGCAAAGAAGAGGAAACTTCAGGATGCGGAGGCTGAACATCTGGTGTCGAAGAGAAAATCCCATCCGCTCAAGCTAGCCTTGGATGAAGGCTACAATGTCGACAGCGACGGCAGCGAGGAGGCCGAGGCGAAGGAGGAGTCTGGCTCCGACGAGTCGGAGGGGACGCTGGAGGAGGACGAGACGGAGGCGGTGGAGCAGGAGGAGACCCGCAGCCCCGAGCCGGCAGAAGGTGCTTTATCATTATTGATTGCAGAGCTGCGTTCTGCAGATGAATAAAGGGCAGGGAATGTTAATAACCAGGAGTTATAGCTCCTCTGAATTATGTACAGGACGGGTCCTTCAATTACTACGTTTGGTGGAAGCACAATGGCAAAGCTCTGGTTAAACTGAGGGGATACGCGCAGATTGTCTCCGGTGTCTTGAAAATGAGAGCTTTTCCATCAGGGATGCTCCCTGGGGAAAGACCCGTGGAAGGCACAGAGGAGCTCGCAGCGGCGGGGAAGGCAGCCGGGGTCCCACATTGGTGCCTCCGGGGGCTCGGCCGCCTTCCCCGGTGCCGGAGCTGTCCCCCTGGCCGGATCTGGCCGCTCTCCGAGAGGACTGACAGGCAAGCAAGCTGGGTGTCCAGCGGGGTCCTGGCACTGTCGCTCCCCGGTTGGGAGCCCCTGGCTTGGGGAGCACTGAGAGCAAGGGGGGCTGATGGCTGCTGGAAGCCGCCCGCCTCTGAGCCCCGTGAAAGCTTCCAGGGAAATCCCCTTTCTACCTGCTGTTCCCAGATGCAATAAATTAGGCTGCGGCAGGGGTATAACAGCCAGGCTCTGCTTTCAATTAAGCTTAAGTAAGACAAAGACGTGTTTATGAGCTTATACAATTACTTTCTTTTCCTCCTTTTTTCTTTTCCTTTCCTCCTTTTTTTCTTTTCCTTTTCCTCCTTTTTTTCTTTTCCTTTTCCTCCTTTTTTTCTTTTCCTTTTCCTCCTTTTTTTCTTTTCCTCCTTTTTTTCTTTTCCTCCTTTTTTCTTTTCCTTTTCCTCCTTTTTTCTTTTCTTTTTTTTTTCTATGTCTTTTCCCTCTTTTCTTTCCTCCCCCCCTTCTTTTTTCTTTTCCTTCTTTTCCCCCCCCTCAGAGAGAAGCCCAGCAAAATCAACCCATTATGGACAAAACACAGCAACAAGTACGTCTGGGCCCAGCAAGGCCAACTATAGCAGCTATCAAGAAATAATCGCCAACTCTCTCCTAAACCTAGGCCAAATAGCGGAGGAAACCCTTGCCATCGAAGGGCAGCTGCCTGAAGCTGAGCTGCAGGTCTCCAAGCCGCCGTCCAACGTTGTGCATCTGGTCCATGAGGATGCGGGTGAGGAGTTAGTGGAGGAGGAGTGCGACAAGGAGATCATCATCCAGACGGAGGATGCGGAGGAGGTCATTGAGGTCACCAGCGAACGCAGCAGCGAGTTGTGTCCGGAGCACCGGGACGATGCGAACTGCGAGGAGTCCTGCAAACTGCAAAAGGCTGAAGCAGAAGAAGAGGATGAGGAGGATGAGGAGGAGGATGAAGATGAGGAGGAAGAAGAGGAAGAGGAAGAAGAGGAGGAGGAAGAGGAAGAAGAAGAGGAGGAGGAAGAGGAGGAGGAGATGGCTCCTGAAGTGATCTGTGAAGAAGCTCCTCACACTTCTCAGGACACCCAGAAAAGCCACTGTGAAGGGCAGTTCAGCCCAAAGCCCGAGTACTCGGTCATCGTGGAGGTCCGGTCGGATGATGACAAAGACGATGATGCCCGCTCCCAGAAATCGGCGGTGACCGACGAGTCCGAGATGTATGACATGATGACGAGGGGGAACCTGGGGCTGCTGGAGCAAGCCATCGCACTGAAGGCTGAGCAGGTGAAAATTGTACGGGAGCCCAGCCGGCTGCCAGGAGAGCACGTAAAGCACTTCCAGGTGGATGAGAAACAGAGCAAACCACTGGACAGCATCCGAAAGAGCTACTACGGCAAAGGTATGGGGACAAGCCTTCACGTGTCTCCTTCCTTCCCATCCCCAGCCCCCAGTTTCACAGCCCATGGAGGGAATTTAGCCACAAATCCTCAATGCCCAGAGGGCTGGGGACATCTTAGAGGTCAAGAGTGAATGCGCAAAATGATGGTGTCCTCTACATCTCTTCAGGGGCATTGCCTGGCTAAATTGCCTGTTGGCCTTGAAAATCTCAGCCTGGTCAGTAGGGCTGGTTTAAAATCCAAGTGGGTTTTAAAGCAGTGGTAGGAGTCCGGCCACAGCAACATGAGGGACTTGTCAGGGGGTGTAGAGTCCCTCGGGTGCTGAGCTGGGCTGCCTGCTCGGTGTGAGCTGCTCCATGGTCCTTGCTGGTTTTAATTTTTGAAACTTCCAGTGTTACAATTTCACCTTCAGGAAAAAAAGGTCCAAACCCAAAGGTTTCTCCCTGTTTGTTTGGAAAAGTGGTGGCAAGCAACCTTGGCAATTTTTCTTTCCTTTCCACCTCTTCCTCTCCAAATCCTCTAACCTGCTTCCCACCACCCTTTCCCCACAATCCCTAGATCCCTCGAGACCCGAGAAGCGAGAAATCAAATGTCCGACTCCTGGCTGCGATGGAACCGGCCACGTCACGGGACTCTACCCTCACCATCGCAGCCTCTCTGGTTGTCCGCACAAAGACAGGATCCCTCCCGAGAGTGAGTACATGGTGGGATAACGAGCTTGCTTAAATGAGTCTGAAGCCTTATTTCCTAGGGGGATTTTTACAACTGATGGGTAGAGCCATCTCAAGGCCAATGGGCACCCCAAATAGTCCCAAATGATGTGAATTTTATGACCAAGTCCCTAGCACAAGCCTGGTGTTAATCCTTGGCGTATAACGGAGTTTCTGGCATGGGACGGTGCTTTTCCAAGTTGTTCCAGGATGCTCCTATCCACCAAAGTGTTACCACTCTTCGTGGGAAATGCTATGGAGATTACGGAGAAGTCCTACCCTTCTTAAAGATTTTTAGCACCATCCTGTGGAGAGTGAGGTCCCTTCTCTGAAAATCAAAGAGGTGCTTTAAAAATGATGCCCACCTCCAGAGGTGTGTTAAGCCATTCCCATCCTTACGCTGAATGCCACATATTTTTCTCTATTTGGGATATCGTGTTGGGAAGAAGGGGAAACTCTTCTTTCCTGCTGTCCCAATGTGCTGAAGGAGAGGAGTCGTTCAGGACGTGCAGGAGAGCTGAGTCTCCTCCTACACGCTCATCACTGCAAAATTCACAGGGTGCTGTACCGAGATTCATCTCTTCCACAGAAAATATTTATCATCATCATCGTAACAGATTTATATATATACACAGAGAGATATTTTATTTCTACCTCTCTACCAGCATCCTAAATAGCTTTCCCTGTGCATATACATAAAAATCGATGTTGTATGTTTATGATAATGGCATAATAGACCAAAAGAAAAAAAAAAAAGGAGCCCTTCCTTATCAGCAATTTCAAAGGTTGCAGACCTGCCATAAACACAGAACTGCAGGAAACAAGGAGGAAGCGCAGCTATCTTCACACGGGCTTGAATGCAAGGAAAAATATTAATAAATAACTAACACAAGCTGCGTGCTTTAGAAAAGCTTGCAAATCAAATTATTTTCTTTACTTTTAAGGTCAACGCTGCAGGAAGCAATAATCCCGAAGATTAAATTTAAAAAAAAAAAAAAAAAAAATCCAACAAAGACTAGTCCTAAGGCTAAAAGCAGAGATACAACTTCAATCACTTAAAACTACCTGAAATTGGGAGACCTGGCTACGAACCAGGGGTGGGCGGGAGGGGCCGGATGGGGGAAAGGGGATTGCAATCAGCAGATGAGGAGGAAGCCCAAGCTGTACGCAGTGATGCTAATCTAGTGCTGACCTGAGCACTGCTGCCTTGTAAATCCCTTTTTCCCTGTGCAGATGAATTCTAATTACAGCATTTCACGTTCCCTGATTTCTAGGAAACCGGTGTACAAGACTTGATGATTTTGTCTTCTTTTCTTTTTTTTGTTTTTTTTTCTTTCCCGTCTCTGATTTTTATCAAGTTGTTTTTGCTTCCCTTCCCCTCTCCCCTTCCCCTTCTCGCTCTGAAGTCTTGGCCATGCACGAGAACGTGTTGAAATGCCCCACGCCAGGCTGCACAGGACAGGGTCACGTCAACAGCAACCGCAACACGCACAGGAGGTACCAGCTTTGACTTCTCCTCCGTAACAGCCAGGGCGAGGACTGCAGCAGGGCAACCACCCCCAAAAGCCTGGGCTTTACTCTTCTACTGAGAGATGGTGCAGCTAAGATGGGTGAAGTAGGGATGACCCAAAGACAAAGAAGAATACGAGAAAGCAAGGCGGGGCAGTGATTTCTGGCTGGGCAATAGAGCAGAGCGATGCTTCCAGGCTCGCAGGGGGGGCTATGGAGGGGTAGATGCAGGTGGGGGTTCATGGGAGAGGTGTTGGGCTCTTTGGAAGCAGAGGGTGCCTGGTGAGGCTGACCAGAGGGTGATGTTTGTGTTTGGTGGTGTGGCACTTTGCTGGATTTCTAGGAATTTCCACATTATTTAGGCTGAAATTAGTCCGTGGTATTGATGAGCTGGGAATTTAGGTCCCCTTGCTGTAGGACCTCAGCCCAGATGTGGTCGGGAGGGGACAGGGTTGTGCTTTGGGATCTGTAATTGTACCCCATGCTTTGGCTTCAGTTAAACTTGAGCACTTTTACAAACGGGAAGGCTGCAAGCAGAGGGGATGGTGCCCTTAAAAGCTAGAAACCTTCCAAAAAGCCGGACTAGCTTGTGCTGCAGGGATGCGCTCATGAATTTATGATTTACCATTCGTTGCACTTGAGCTTAATTGGCCGAGAGTGACAGCTCTACGAATGTTGATGTGTTTGCAGGCGCAAGGTGAGTTTGTGTCGTTACTCGTTGAGCCGTGGAGGAAGCTGGTGGATTCTTCCTTTTAGCCGTTGCTGCTAGAAGAAAATTAGGGAAAGCTCGTGGGTTAATTGAGCAGCTCGGTTTGGTGCAGGCAGCACGCGATTGCAGTGGGATCGAGCTGATCCACTGGTGTTAGTGGGCTATGGAGCAAGCTCCAGGGCTGAGACCCGGTGGGGTCGGAGCCCTGAATTTCACGCGGGGCTGGGCTGGGGTTCCCTCGGTGCTGGCTGCTCCGGTGATGAAGGTGCCTGTGATGGCTTGGGGTCAGCTGGGAGCACGCGGGCTCTGCTTGTGAGGGGATTTCGACCTTCCCTGAGCAATCGCCGTAAGAGCCAAGCTGTCCCAAAGAGGCAGAGCCAGGCTCGCACGCAGGGTGTGTATGAGCAAAAGCCATTACAGCCCCCGACCCCCCCCCAGGCACCGGTGTGCTGGCAGCCATGCACATCGGAAGTGCAAATGTTTCCCTGCAAGTGCCCCTCAGAAGGCTCCCTTCAAATGGGCTCTGCAAAAGATCCGAGTAAATACGAATCAAAAATGCCATTTCACTGCTAAAAGCACTCAACGAAACCAGCCCGTACCCCTCTGCCCCTGCTGCGCTCAGCCCGGGGGAGCTGCCTCCTTGATCCACCTCTGGGCCCTGGGGATGCTCCGGGGCTCATCCTGGAGAGATTTGGCACTTGATGTTTGACTGCTTTGCTGCTTGTCAAGTCTAAAAGCAAGCTAGGATAAAGATAATAAACACCCCCACCCACCCCCACCCCCCCTGTTAAACGCAAACACTTTTCTCATGGGCTCAGTGCAGCTCCGGGCCCCTGAAATGAAGATTTTCCCACTCATCCCTCACGCTTGGTTTCCTTCTCTCTCTCTTTTTTTTTTTTTTTTTTTCTTTTTTTTAAAAAAACCTCCCCCA